CTCTCAGAAGTGGCCAGGAGCCAGGTGTGCCTGTGTCTCTAAGCCATGACCAAAGCTTGGTCCCTAATATGAGGCCGTTGCCCCTATTAGTGCCACGAGAGGCGGCCTCTTCCTTTTTTTCTCAGCTCTCTCCATCCTGCTAAACGTATTGCAGAGATGTTCTTCTCAGCTGCTTTTAAACTTCAAATCTACAGAAAGATGGAACAAAAAAATAGTATAAGGACACCTGCATCCTTGATTCACGATTTCCGCCTTTCCCCATCTGCATTATCATTGTTGGTATATGCACACGCAGCACTGTCATTTCCTGAAGTATTTGGGAGGAAGTTGCATACACTAGGACATACTGTCCCTTAATATTTTCCCTTTGTATTTCTCTGATATGACCACAATACAGTCCACCTCAGTATATTTGAGATTGATAGGACTTTTATCTAATTTGGGATTGTAATTCAATTTTTTCTACTGACCCACATAGTGTCCTATTGTACAGAATTTCTTTTTTCCTTTTAGTATCAGACCAAATGTAGGCTCGAGTCTTGGATTTTTAGTTGTCACGTGCTTTTAAAAATCTCTTAAATTTTTTAATGAATTCTTTTCAAAGCCTTTTTTAAAAAATGAAGTTGATCTTTTTGAAGAGTGCAGCTTTCCTTTTAAGCAGTAGAACTGCGCTCATTTTGGATTTGCCTGGTGTTCCCTCCCGAGTGATTAAGTTTGTTTTTGCATGTGGAGTTGTTATTGAGGGCACATTTCCACGTGCTGCTCACTGGGTGATGGCAGCGTTGATCATCCAGTGAAGGTGCTGCCCATTTCTCACTGTATTGCAGCCTCTTTTCCCTTCCGACAGGTAATTAATCTCTGTGTGTCGTGGAGCACTTTAAGCTTGTGCAAATATTCACTCCTTGTCAGAATTTCCTCTCGATTGCCCAGTGTGACTCTTTATGGTAATGACCAGCATGGCATTCTTCTGAAATTAGAAGTCTTCCTTGCTCCTCTGCGTTCATTATTCCTGTGGTCTCATGGGCTATTTTTCAGTGGGTGATAGCTTATTGCCATCCTGAGTTATTTTAGTGGTCCCATGTTTGGCCGTTGGAGTCCCATCAAGCTGCTCTGTGTCATGGTGGCATAGCCACAATATCCTTGCCCTGCCTCTCTTGTTGCTGCCTTGTCTGTGTTTGTGGTCCACTTCCGGGGCTCACTGAGTACCTTTTGTGTATTGCATAGCTTTTTAGTCAGAATTATCCCTTTAATGTCTTTCAGATTTGGGCAGGATCTCCACTGACATATTTGAGTGATGTATTACTAGGCAGATAGAAATCTGATTTTCTTTACAGTTATTTGTAGAACCTACTACCATTTCCATTTGCAACGGTGAGTCATTTAATGGGTTATGCACTTTACTGGATTCCCTGAATTATCTCTGCGCTGCCTGTGGTCGCCCTCTGCTGGCTCTGGAGCACATGATTCACTTTTCTGGGGTTCAGGGACAGAGTTCTCTTTTTGCCCATTTTCTTTGTTTTGCTTGGTTGATCTCTCTTTAGTTATTATACAAATATATATAATCCATTGCAATATGCCTTAGAACTGTTTTATTTACCTAAATGTATCAAGAATATGTTTTCATGATAAAATTATGTATTTCTACATCATATATTAATACTTGCATACTTTTTATTACATGAATATTTAAGCATTTATATAATCCACTTGTAATGGCCTTTTGTGAAGCTTACTTTTTCCATTTCAGTTAGCATCTAAAACTGAACATCCCCTATTAAGCAGAGTTCGATAAGCAGGTGGGGAATTGACAGGTAAAAATATAGAGAAAGGAGACTCTAGTTGGAAAAATTGTCTGGGACAAATTCAGGATGTGTTCAGGAAGCAGGAGAATCAAGTTTGGCTGCACCATGCTTGGGTAATAGCGGGAAATCAGATTAGGAAGGAGGTTCTGTGAGACTTTTTCTGTGAAACTGATAGAATAAACTCGAAGGGAAACAGGACAATAGCAAACATAGTGCTTACTAACTGGGAAGCCCAGGGCAGTTGGATTAGGGGCTCAAATGCTGCACCCCTCCCTTGCTTGTCTGTGCTGCTTGTCCTGTCTGGGTGGGGAGAAGGATCCCCAAAGCTCCCCCAGATTTAGAGCCCTACGGGTATAATTACTTTGAGGCCCAGAATCTCAGGTAGGCAGATGCAGAGAAAAGAATGCTGTGAAGAAGATGTTGAATGCACTCTTCTGCACATAGATCTTGAAGTAGTCTTGCAGTAGCAGGATCGAATCTAACTGGTTTTTCCTTGGGCCAAATATTTCATGCAGGAAGTGAAAAGAGCCAAAGGCGTCCCTTCTTTTTGCCTAGGTTTCACCAGGATTCTCTTTCAAAGGCCTCTCTGTTTTATCCTTTTTCTCCCTGCAGTACATCCTGTGTATCACGCCCAGAACCGCCTTTATAATGTTTGCTTTTGAAATTACTTTTTCTTTGCGATGCTTGGGGATCAAACCCAGGACCCAATGCCTGCCAGGCACATGCTTTACCAGTGAGATACACACAAGCCCTCACATTTACTTTTTATACTCTCCCTGCCTGGCTCAAAAACCTTCAGCTCCCCTCTCTCCCAGTACATTAAATGTAATTGTTTGTCACTCAGGGTCTTTGGTGATCTGTTCCCAAGTTATACTTCCAATTTTAGATATTTTTAAATCCACTTTTGCTTTGCATTCAAATCTTGAGTTAACTGAACTTCTGTCACTGCATTAGTCCACCCAGGCTGCTTTCATGCCTGGTTGTCTGTTTTCATTTTTCTTAAGGTTACAGTGTCTGGCGATGTGGAGACCATATTGGTTGCAAGAGCTGGGATGTTATGTAGCAGTCTTCAGGTTATACCCAAGCAGATAGAGTAAAACTTTTAGACCATTACTTATTACGTTTGAGAATAAGGCCTGACTGTTTCATTCCATGTTACCTATCGCAGTCTAATTCAGGTGTAGCACCTAATGTGGAGGGGAGGCTGTAGAGACACAGGTTAACAAATAGGCACTTCACATCTGTGTTTTGCTGCTGGAAAGGGGAGAGGGGGCAGATCCTGGGAGGGCTTCTGAGAAAGGGTGGCATTTCTGTCTGAGGCTTAAAGGTATGTGACTGGCAGAAAAAGTCAGCACTTCGGGTCACTTGGATGTCAGCACTGAAGGCAAGGATGTGGAGTTGAGATGATGAGAGGTATGGAGGCAGCTGTGGTTTGCATTGCATTTGTGACACCTTCTAATACCATCTTGTTCCTTCTAATACCTTTAATCACCTTCTAATACCTGTGGCTCCAGGAGGAGGAACAAGTGAGGTACTAGAGTAGAGTCTTTTCTGCCAATATGTGTAGGGAGGTCAGTGTATTACTCGCTTTGCCATTGCTGGGATGAAATATCTGACACCTGCAATTTAAAGGAGGAGAGGTTTACTTGGCTCCTGTTTTCAGTGGGTTCAGTCCATGGTGGCTATTTGAAGGCAGAAACAGCATGGCAGAGGGACATGGCAAAGCAGAGATGCTCACTCCATGGTAGCCAGGAAGGAAGCAGGTGAGAAGGGAGAATCTGGGTCAAAAACACACCCTTCTGGAAAGATTATACCCCAGTGACCCACCTCTTCTGACCAGACCCCAGCTCCTAACACATTCAGTCAGGAACTCAAGAGTGAGTCTGTTGATAGCACTTCCATGGTCTAGTCACCTTCTGAAAGTTCTATCTCTGGACACATGAGACTCTGGGGGACATTTTAGATCTAAACCATAGCAACAGGGACTCCTTCTGCCATCCCTAGGCCAGGAACATATTCCATTGTGTTCTCACAGTGAGAGATGCCATAGATTTTGGGAAGCTCAACAGTTTATTCTTTTAAGTAATAATTTAAAAATTATGCTATTTCTAAATATAAAATATCATTTATAACTGCTATAATTCTAGTATTGTTTGAGAGAAAAAAATACTGTTTTGTTAAAAATAAACTTTAAAAAAACTTAAGTAAGAGAAAGACTTGCCATAGAGTACAACATGTCACTAACAAAAAAAATTAATTAACCAGTCATAAATTGAGATCAATGTGGACTACCTGGATGCATGTATATTTTATACACTAGACACCCTAATTTTTTTTGATGTTTAAAAAATACTGAGTATTGTGTTTGTTTCTAATTCAGGGAGAATATGTCAAGTTCTGTTTCTCTCAGGTAGAGTTAGAAAGACAGAGCTGCTTCTTTTTGTGGTTATGCAGTGATGACCCTTGCCCACTAGGGGCCGCATGAGTGCTAGCCAGGGCTGCCAGTGCTTGAGCAGAGGCCATCAGGAGCATACAGAGGTTCTGATGAGAGATCTGTACCCAAGGAACTGGACTTGAAACTGGAAGTTTTATGAGCTAACTGTAGCTTTGCCACTGCCGTCTGGGCCGTGCCAAGACAAACAGGCTTAGCGCAGAATGTGCAGAGCTGAGGCCTTAGTCAAACAGGAGTGCAGGCCACAAAGGAGCTGTACTGTCAGTGGATTATTGATTCTTCTCTTGTTGAAACACCGCCCTTCCGATGAAGAGGAAGAAAGGAAAGCAAGAGACAAGTCAGATTGCAAATTTTAAGGCTGCACCTTAGCGATGCAGCCTCCACTTTGGATAAGTCAGGATAGAAATACAGCTTTATTTTTGTATCAGCCTGTGCTTAGAAAGCTGGTTGCTAAACTAGGAAGCTCAGCTTTCACCATTTCGATGGTAAATCCAGGGTGGAAAAAAATCCCCCAGATGGCATTTGCAGGAGATTACTGGCTGATAATCCTTCCTTGTCCTAGAATATTAACTCTGCCCTGCTATAGTTGTGGTTCGCCGACTCTTATTATCTTGACAGTGTCAGGCATTTGGTTGAACTTTTCAGTGTTCCCAGCGATACTGCACAGCCAGTCGCCCTTCTTTGTTTACTGAGGCCGGCTCCACGCCTCTGCCCCATGTTGTTCTTCCTTGACTGAAATGAACAACAGGTGGTGAACAGAGCCCCTCCTAAAGTTGCTTGGGAGAAGTCATTTATTAAAAGGCCTGCTTGACCTAGCCATACCTGGGCCCGGACGCTGGGGCGGGGCCTCCAAACCGGGAAGATATTTTCAGCAAGCTTGTTCGTCAAGGGAGTGAGAGGCCAAAAGGATCCGCAACTGACCGCTGAGACAGCTTCTGGGGGCCTGAGAGCCATGCGTTCTGCCTCTGCCTGGGATGGATCACAGAGACACCGACTTATATGAAGACTACAAGTCCCCATTTGATTTTGATACAGGAGTGAACAAAAACTATCTCTACCTGTCCCCTAGTGGGAATTCATCTCCACCTGGATCACCTACTCAGAAGTTTGGTAACTACTTTTTGTAAAGTTAATTTGCTGTCGTGAAGCCCAGACATAATGGGGTTTACCTGGTTTTAAAATTACTAATGCGTAAGATGTTCTGGCATGTTGCGGTGTTGTCAGTAGTTAACAGCTGTTGTAGGTCTGAAGCAGAGAGAGGATAGCTTGTTAAGTATTTGGCCAGAGATATTTAGTGTATATATGTATATATACTGGGAAGTTAGATTTTAGTTATTATTTCTCTGCTATTCGGACCACTTTGAGTTCGTTGAGCTTGTTATTAGCAAATATCACAGAAAAAAAAAAAAAAAAAACTTGGAAGGCCATGGTTTCTAGTTGCCTGTGTAATGTATGAAGACTACCTTTACCTCTGTCTTTGTAAAAACAAGATTTAGACACCTGAAGCACAAGGGCCTGATACAGCATAAGGGTCCTGGATTTTGTTCTGGGAAATTAAGAGCAATTTACAAAAATACCTATGCAAGGCTTTTGGAAAAACTCCAAACGACTGTACCTTTGGAAGCAGTTATTTCCTGCTTTGTGGCAGTGCGAGATTGTCCTGGAGGCTGGAGTGTTGACCACGGGAGGATTCACAGGGAGGATTCCACTCTATCAGCTCGTGTTCAAGGCCATCATTTTACCGCCAGCCCCAGAAGGTAGTGGAGTGACTTCCTCTGCAGCCAGCCAGAGAAGCAATGAGGTTTTCTTAGAGATAGTTAGTAAGTGAAGACTAGGTTGCACGGTTTTTGCACCAATATTTATTGGTACATTTTTGATGTACATAATGATCACATTCTTCATAGGAAATTTGTACCTTAATTCTTTTTTTTCCCATTCCCCTCGCCTCCCTTCAGCCTTCTTCCCCTCCCCATTTATAAAACAATGTTTCTCGTTTTAAAGGTGAAACATGGGTGATATGACACATGAAACCCAGCTTTAAGTGTTCCAGTTTGTGTAGTTGCTGACTGAGGGAAGTGGGAAGTATGCAAACGCAGTGTTTGTCTCGTCTCAATTGCAGTTGGTTACACTCGTTTGCAGTTTGGATTTCCAGGAAGGGGACAGTGTGGAAAGGCCCGAGGGGCTCGATCTAGGTGGTCTCTGGGAGCCAGGGCCTTTGGAAGCAGCCAGAGTCTGCCGGGGAGTGGGACTGGCACAACCCTGTTCTTCAAGGACTCCCCCACCTTTTCTGGTGGCTCACCTTGGAATGTGTAATAAAGAGGTCTGGGTTCCTGTCTGCCCAGCTCTGGGCAGAGCGGCATACTGGGGTGAGGGTGCAGGACTAGGCCTCTGTGCAGGTAGGCCTGTGCAACAAGGAGGGAAAGCCTCGTGTCCTGTTCACCTCCACTCACTGCTCACTTCCCCAGTTTTGCTCATGGCCCCAGAGAGCATGGGACTCTGAGGACGGGGGCCCTCTGAGGCCCCAGAGGGACGGGCGTGCCTTTCAGCAAATGTTTAAGAACTATCTTTACAACTCAGTAGCACTCTGAAAGAGCTTGGGACTGTGGGACTAGACAATTTTATCATGAGCAAATGAATAATCGGAACTAAAAAGAAAGCTGTCTGTACCTGTGAATGCTCACATTTAGTAGTTCGCATGAATTGAAAAAGGAGGGAGTAAGTAAGAAAATAAGTGGGACCATCATAAGCAGCCATCTGATAAGAACGTGATTTGGGGTGGTGGTGGGGTGGCCTCACCGTAGTGGTCTTCTTCCCTCAGCCTCACTGAGAGTGTTGGATTATAGGTGTGTGCCTACATGCCTGGCCTCGTGGTGAGCCTCAAATAGCGAGTACTATGCACTCGGGGCCCAGAAAGTGACTACCTGTCTTTGTGCATGGGATCCATCCACACTCCTGTTTGAACATCAAACACAGTATACAGAGGCAGTGAATACATAGCTTCTGTGTGTTTGTATGCTCTGTGTTTCTGGATAGAAGCTTTCAGGATCAGTACTTAAGAATCCACTGAAGCTGTACTTGGTGGCCTATGCCTATAATCCCAGACCTTGTGAGGCTAAGGCAGGAGTTCTGAACTAGATGGTGAGACCCTGTCTCGGGAAAAAAGAATCCATGTAAAAGTTCATGTGGCTTCTGGCCATGGTGTATTTTTTTTAATTAGACAAGGAAGACCAGTGTAAAAGGGCATCTACTCAGAAAAGCTAGAAACACTGATCCAAAAAAGAATCTGTTCTTTGATATTTAGCCAAAATGCTATGTGCTTGGGCACAGGAGAATGTAGTGAGATTGAATTTATGGACAGGCTGTTAAGAACTAGTCAGTGTCAAGAGTAGGAGGGGAGAGTGGCTGGAAGGAAAAGAGGCTTTCATACTGGGGACCTCTGCACTCTTGGCACGACCAACCCATGCTCAGATGTGTGCATCTGTTCGCAACAAGGGTCTAGGAGGGAAGCAGGTTTGTGCAACACCTTACTGTGTGTGTGTGCTGATACATACACACAAACACACACACACACACACACACACACACACACACACACATATATATATATATATATATATATATATTTTTTTTTTTTTTTTTTTACTATTCTGTTCCTTTTTTTTCTTTGTAAATGCTCATCTGGTACTACTGCTGGATGACTTTCACAACTCATAGTTTAAGAATACTGATTTTACAATAAGTTATAGAATTGGCATATAAGCTTCCTTAAGGGATGTTTGTCTTTCACTGGAATAGTGCTTCACATCTATGGCTCAGCAAATACTTGTTGAATGAATGAATGAGTGAGTGAGTGGAATGGACTGATTCATGTTTCAGGTCACTTCACAAAGGGGAACACTGAGTCTGGGGAGATCCGTAGTGTCTCCAGCTCCAGCTGAGCTGGACTAGCACTTACCTCAGTTCTTAGCTGGTAGAGTTTTGACCCCAGCATCTGGGCCCATCTGGAAATGGATAACAGAGAGCTGGTTAATCATTCCGGGCGTAACTTCTCCTTTGGTCACAGGTGTCCCTGTGAGGTGGTTTGTCTGCTCCTGTGTGCCCCTCAGACCCAAGCATTTCATTCTGGTCACAGCCACCCCTTAGCGAAAGGGGTTTCGTGGCTGTGCTCCTTTGCAGCAGTTTCCTTTCTACAAAAACCCACCGGACAATTTCCCAGAGGTTATTTATATAGACTTTATTCCACTTAAGACCTTTCTGAGAAAAGACAGGAAGACACAGACCTGACTTGAAGCACCTTTAGTTATTTCTAGTGACTTCAGAAATTATGGGCAGTTGAAAAAAATCTGTTTCATGCTCTCGTATTTGAAACTAAAGGCTGAGGAGTCAAGTTTTGGCTCATGGTTTTCATTCTGTTTCTCCTCTATCCCCCGCTTTAAAAAAAAAAAAAAAAAGATTGCAGAGACCTCAAATAGCAAGCACAGTGAGAGTTTATGAAATGAAAAGCAGAACGGAACCGAGCTGTTGAACTTATTCCTGGAAAGGAACTTTAAGGATGCAGGAGGACACTTCCTTTCTGGGGATCCCCAGGTTTCTCCAGGGCTGACCTCTGTCTCTTGTGGAGTACCCTCGCTTTATAAGTGATCTTCGGAGGGTGGAATGGTGAGGAGAGGAGATGGCTCAGAAGTAACTCATGGAAGACCTGCATCTCCCTTTAAAGGGAGTGGTCTGGTCAGTGGTCTTTACCCTGGGGTAATTTTGACCCTGTAGGCATTGGTTCTTAGTTCTCACACACCTAACTAGGATGGAGCCTGGACCCCCGGAGTAATCGGCTCAAAATGTCCATCAGGCTATAGCCAAGAAGCCCCATCTTAACTGAAGAGATCCCACCTTGATGTGGGGACCTCTGAGAGTCCCCTCCTCTCAGATATTTTTATATCGAGAAACACAGAGCAGGTACACAGAGCCAGAGCTGCAAGCATAGACACGTGAGGGGAAAAAGTATCTTGTGATCTCTTGGGATATTACCGCTGAAGATACTTGGAACTATGTATCTTTGTATGTGTATAGGGTTAAAAAGAGGGAAACTATTTCCTCTTGCTTGTACTGATGTGAGATTATCCTAGAGACTGAAATTTCTTATTCCCACTCCACTCTTAAAGCAACTGTCACCTGTTTGGAGACTAAAGGAGAGGCATGTGCAGTTTTACTTTCTAGCTCAATTGTATGTCAACAGGTTCTTTCTTGGACTATGACAGACATCACAAGCCTTAGGCTTTTCTGGCATCTTCTTTCATCCTGGGGACCAGTTGAGGTACTCGCCTTTGTATGATACCTGTTCCCTGGCTATGTAAACAGGGTGTCTCTGTAACATGAAGGTGGGCGACCTCCAAACAGTGCCAATCTAGATGACATATGAGGTAGAAGTTGCATTTCTTTAGAAAAGTGATGTTTTATGTCTGTTTTGAGTAGGAAAGTCTTTGATAAGGCAGAGGTGAATGTGATACATAAAAAGTGGTAAATGTAAGGCGTATCATGAAGCTGTACTGTGTTCTTCCCTTTCCCCGTGGCTGACCTGTGTGCGTGTTTGGAGACTGTTTGTGAGTAGAGCTGAGTGGGGCCTGCAGGGAGGGCGCAGAAGGCTGAGGCCACTCTGCCCAGTGCGGGCTGTGTTCCAGCACAGTGGGCATTGCTGCAGGTTGTTCCCGGAGCCAGGCACACTTCTCAGCCTCTGTCACAGGGACATCCTCCAGGAGTAGTTTATGACCCCCATGTGGGGATGAGTTCAGAATCATGTCTCCCTGGTGAACTTGGGATTGGAAGGGTTAGTGAATGTGGGCAGTAAAGGCAGACAAGCAGGTGGCTTCTAGAACAGTAAGCTAAGTTCCCTGGAAGGTAGGAAACCATGGAAAGATTGAAACCAGGGACTGTAGTGGTCAGATACCTTGGTAGAGTGAAGCTGACTCTGGAGCAGATGGTGAGTGCTTGGAGGCGGGGCAACCACCCAGGCACTTAGGGGCAAGGATCCAGGCCGAGATGGTGAAGGCCTGGAAGCGGGGTGAGGAGGCCTTGAAGAGTGGTGAGAGCAGAGTCTGGGTGGGCAGTGGGCGAGG